TCAAAGTAATTTACTTGTATGATTTCTACTGATACATAAAAGAAGCTAAAGCAAAGAAGAAAAACCATTTAGCTCTTGCTTGCAATAAGATCAACTTAAACTTCCTGTGTTTTTCAGCTATAGCTTGAGAGCTCTATTAAACACCTGGAAAAGTAAAGTTCCTTTACAGCTGCATGTGTATGTAATTAATGCATTTGACAAGCTGTTGTGTTCCCAAACAGCTGCTTCCATTATATGGACAACTTTACCATCTGCAAAACTATTGGGTAAACTACAGTAAGTAAATATCAGGATAGCAGGTGCTAATAAATAACAAGCGCTGCCAAGATAACACACTTCTGTAAGGAAAGTTTTAACTTTTCCCACTGTACTTTTCTATACCCCTGGAGCAGGAAACTCAAGATACTTAGAAACAAAAGAAACTAGTGTTGTGACTCACAGGAGCAGTAAAATAAGGTTTGGGGCAAATATCTCCGAAATCACAATTAAATGCAATTAATCTCTACTGCACTAAGCCAAAGAGTTAGGCCACTAAATTTGCACCTAAAAGTGAGTCTCCTCACAATACATAACCAGCCACAGCTACACATATTAAATGTGGTAAATAAAACAAGTTGAAAAGGGAAGTCTAATCTCCTATGTTAACATTCATACTTTAAACAAAATTTTCTATTTATGCCTCTGAGTATGATCTTCACTATACTTCCCACCCAGCACTGCTACTTAACCCAAAAAGCTTGTCCATGCATCCACGACCAGATCAAAATTGGGCATTTGCTTCACCCAGCATCAAAACAAAGCTGCAAATATAAACAAATAACTGTTCTAACATCCAGTATCTCATGAACCACAAGGAATGATGATTAATACAGCCTCACCTGAAATTTAAAAAAACAAAACTAAACAAGCTATTCCTTGTGCAACCAATTTTGCCAGAAAAAGTAAGAGTCACATAGGTAGATGTGATCCACCTCCAGATTTACAAAACTGCTTAAGTATCATACACCAAAAAAAAAGAACCAATTTGGTAGTACTATGCTTTAAAGAGCTTCATGTGGTTTATGGTATTTGGAAGGTTACTGTCATTATACTCTCCAAAAACTGGCTGAAGCTATAGTTTCTAAAGCAGAAATAATGATATAAATGGACCAACTAAAAATCTCAGCTTTTAAACAAACAATTATATAGGATAACTTTTGAAATGCTGGGGGTTTTTTTGTTTGGGTTTTTTTAAGAATTACCATTTCAGGCCTCTAATTGTTCTTTCAGTTTTAGATAAAAAAATAATGCAGCAAAGCTTTTTTTTTTTTTAAATATATAGTACTATGTATAGTGCTTTGATATACTGAACAATAATTTACGTCTCATGTGATAGCCCAGTTATTACTACCTACCTTACTCATTCTTGTCCTACAAGCTACTACTACCAGCCTCCCCACATTTTAAAAATAAACAGAACACATTGAAACATGCAACACAAAGTCTGTGTACTCATTTTTCCTATATCTCATGAATGCTGTTTTTGAATGGCACCATAGCCCTGAAACTCTACTCCACCTATCCTCCCCTGGCAGCCATGTGGCTATTCATGCCATCAGTAATGCATGAACAATCAAAGAGAGAGGAAAATGCCCTTATCTCAGCTCATCAAAAATACAAGCAAGCAAGCCACAAAGGGGTCACAAATTAAAAATTAAATGCGGACAGACATAAAGTGTATTGACACATCACCACATCTAAATCCTCCCTTTGAAGCAACAGAAAACACCAGACACACATAACAAGAATAGAAGGCGGCCAAAAGAGGTAATGAAATAACACTTATTCAAGAAGCGTATTTAGCAATGAAGAATTAAGCAGCAATATATACGAGCACCAATAGGGTCTTTGCCGCTAATGGTAAATCCAGCAGCTAATACCCTCACACAGGCAACTCATCTGCTGTTAGAAACAGGGGCGACCTATCCATGCCTGCTGGTTATTGCAAACCCTAGAAAGGATGCTAGTAAAGTTCAGAAGAACCATTAGGTTTTTAATTAGCTACTTTCTACAACTTAAACAGTATCTTTTATTTTAGCTGTAAAACAGAAGTCTAAGACATAAACCATAAATAATATATGATATGATAAAAGAAGAAAACCACTGGTTTTCTCCTGGAACATTTCACTGTGTATATGAGTACACAGGATGCTAAAACTTTCTGCCTTCTGAAATCAGAATCCAGGATTACAAAAAACTGCTCTTCGAAGCTCCATAACACTCTAAGTTAATAAAAAACTCTATTAGAGCCACTCTGCCAAAGCTATTTCATTTCCAGCTGAGTTTACTTTGATAATGACACAAAGAAGTAATTAAATCACTGAAGACTTAACTGCATTACAAGTTTAGAAGTTTTCATGTATAAATGTTAAATGGTTTTATTTTTTTTGAAAGTAGCAAATGAATTATTTTTTCTTCAGTGCCAATAATCTGCTGCTAACAGCAAGAAACACAAGAAAAAATGAAGCGTTTTCTCAATCAATAAATCTCTACTTAAAAATCCTTCCTGTCCCCCATTTTCCAATCATACCAAATTTCTGTCAATGCTGAATTCTACTAATTTTAGAAGATGTTAACACATATTTGTATTCTGAAAAGTGACTGTACAAACATTATTGTGGTATTCATACAAACATTACTGTAGTATTCTATTTTAAATCTGAGTAATATTAGATTGGTTGGCTCAATGTATAACAAGAATTTGTCTATGAAGTACTTGTGTAGTCTGAAAGTCTTCCTTACTCATGTATCGCAATAAATAATTTAAAGTGCAATTGTTGCTTTTAATGCCCTAAATATTTTCAGATTTATTATTCTTGCTTACTCCTGCTCTCTTGTATAAGGTCATTAAAAGCTACAACTCTGGAATCTCTCACTAGTAACAATTATCGTAACAGAATTGAATCCATCTTTTACATTTTGTAACAGCTCACTAGTATTTCAAAGATAATTTTAAGATAGCTTTTAAATACGTATTCATTTAAATATTTCTCTAAAAAGTAATAAGCATGCTCAAAAAACTCAGGATGGGAACAGGCAACCTGAAACATAACGGTGCTCGGACAGAGACCAGTAATAATTGCAATAATGCAATGTTTACTTTAATGCAATGTTTACTTATTTAATAAAATCAGATGTGAGGAAAGGAATATTTTTGACCCACAAGTAGACGATGTTCAGAGCGGAAAAGGAAAGATACCTATCCAATTTCTGTCTCTAGATATAGTCATCATACAGGTTTATGGAACTGAATTATGCTCATGAGAAAGAACATTCTTTCAACAAAAACAATTAATTTTTTAAAAATGTAAAAAACTGCATTAACATTATTTGCCTCTCTTTTTTTTTTTTTTTTAAACCTTACTTAAAATTCAGTGCAATATATACAATCTGAAAACACTAGGTATGCCAAAGCTGTTGAATACAAAGTTACTAAGTTACTTCTGAGACCAGGTGCAAATGTTTTTTAGCAGCAGCAAATGGTATGGAAAAGCACCAAGGTTTCTGATGATGACAACCTCCCTATATGTTTCTTTCCTAGAAATAGGTTTGGAGGTGACATAAGCTCTTGATTCTCTGCTCTAATATCCCACTGCCCTCTGCTACTGTGTTTACTGCCAGATGCAAGGACACAATATACTTTTATTTTATATCTACATAAGATGCTAAACAGCTAACATGGGATGGTTGGACTCAAAGAATTGTGGTCAATGGCTCGATGTTCAAGTGGAGACCGGGGCGTGACAAGTGGCATTCCTCAGGGGTTGGTATTGGGACCGGCGCTGTTTAACATCTTTGCCGGCGACACGGACAGGGGGATCGAGTGCACCCTCAGCAAGTTTGCCGATGACACCAAGCTGTGTGGTGCGGTCGACACGTTGGAGGGAAGGGATGCCGTCCAGAGGGACCTTGACAGGCTTGAGAAGTGGGCCCATGCGAACCTCACGAAGTTCAACAGTGCCAAGTGCAAGGTCCTGCACATGAGTCAGGGCAATCCCAAGCACAAATACAGGCTGGGCAGAGAATGGATTGAGACCAGCCCTGAGGAGAAGGACTTGGGGGTGTTGGTTGATGAGAAGCTCAACATGACCCGACAATGTGCGCTTGCAGCCCAGAAAGCCAACCATATCGTAGGCTGCACCAAAAGAAGAGCGACCAGCAGGTCGAGGGAGGTGATTCTCCTCCTCTACTCCGCTTTTGTGAGACCCCACCTGGAGTACTGCGTTCAGCTCTGGGGCCCCCAACATAACAAGGACATGGACCTGTTGGAGCGAGTCCAGAGGAGGGCCATGAAGATGATCAGAGGGCTGGAGCACCTCTCCTACGAAGACAGGTTGAAAGAGTTGGGGTTGTTCAGCCTCGAAAAGAGAAGGCTCCAGGGAGATCTTATAGCAGCCTTCCAGTACTTGAAGGGGGCCTACAAGAAAGCTGGAGAGGGACTTTTTACAAGGACATGTAGTAATAGGACAAGGGGTAATGGCTTTAAACTGTAAGAGGGTAGATTTAGATTAGATATAAGGAAGAAATTCTTCACTATGCGGGTGGTGAGGTTGTCCAGAGAAGTTGTGGGTGCCCCATCCCTGGAAGCGTTCAAGGCCAGGTTGGATGGGGCTTTGAGCAACCTGGTCTAGTGGAAGGTGACCCTGCCCATGGCAGGGGGGTAGGAACTAGGTGATCTTTAAGGGCCCTTCCAACCCAAACCATTCTATGATTCTATGATTATTCTGCTTGGGAGTTAACACCCTCTTCGAAAAACAAGGGCACACCTCGGTATCGCAGAAAAGTCTCCTCTCAACTAAAGAATGATTTTTAACCTTAAAAGCACATTTAGGTACATATTGTGCTCCTCAACTTCATAACAAACTCAGCGATTTTGACACTCTCAAACACTCAGATATCTGTCTACTGTACCACAAATCAAACATTCTGTAGGAATACACAACTAAATTACATTCTGTTACCTTATTTGACCATTTGTAGGCTTGAAGAAGTTGGCTGTAAAGGGGTGTTTTGTCCTGAACAGGATCTAGGCTCAATAGTCCACTATTGTGCAGGGGATGGTTCTCAGATGGTTTACCAACTAGGTTGCTCAGACGCTCCAGTTCACTGAAAGAAAACAGAATGGCATTTTTTTAAAGTCAGATCTGCACATACAGATATCTGAGATGTACAATCCTCCTGCAGGGACAGCAATCATGCATGAACTCTAATTTAATATTTATGTGAGTTTTAAATACCTGCCCAATTTGATTAAAAAAAACCCCAAACTTAATCACTGTCATTACCCAAACAATTTAAAGTGGTCTGTTAGTCGTTAAGCTCAGTGCTTCTAAGGAGAGAAAGTACAAGTCAAGAGTCTTTGTAAGACAACCTGGAAAGAGTCAAACTATGGTGGGTCCTGTTCACCAGCACTTCCAGAATTCAAGGCATCTCCTGAGCAATGCATACGCTCAGAAACTTCAAAATTCTGACTTGAGCATTGGCTGCAATATTAGGGGCAATACTAGAAATATTTTTTTACTCATCAAGAAGGCAGATGCCTTATCATTTCATTAAAGGTCTAGAAATTAAAATTGCCCTCATATAAATATACAGAAGAACTGGCATTAGTCCTAAGGCTGGAGATGGTCCTGAAAAGTCTGTGATTATTCTCAGCAAGTATACACATTCCAAGTTCTCAGGGCAAGGAAGCATCTTCTGTTTCCCACGAGCAATTTGTACATTTGTAGATGTGTATAAAATACTCAACTAAAGCATAATAAGCACTCTTTTCCCATGAAAAAAAGCTCACTGTGAAATTATCTATTATTGCTTCATATCTCATTTGTCAAACACTACATTAAATAATAACAAAAGTTAAGCAATTTTTAAAACCTGCATTAATCAGCTGTAGAAGGAAGACTGGCTACTTTGCACAGATATAAAATGCAGTTTTTCAAGTGATATGACTAATCAGGTGCCTTTCCTTTTGACATCTGAATGTTACATCCTACTCTGAACTTCAGAACTTCCACTAGATTAAAAGCACCGATTCAGACCCTTCAAAGGGTGATTTCTGAAAATCTCTGTAAAGAAAAATCCCAAATATCTCAATTTGCATTTAAGGAAGGTTACGAAAATAAACACCAACAATCAGGGAACTGACAGTTAAGAGACTTCCACACTTTACTACCACAAAATTCTCCTCTATCAATCACCATTCCTTCAAGTTTCCATGGCCTACATTCTTTCTAAGCCTCTGGTACTGTGAACACTCACGAATGTGCTTAATATTTCTTGACAAAAGAATACAATAAAATAAATGTGAACAGACATAACAACTAAGGATTTGTTGAACAGGGATCCCAGTCACTACTTTCATGACGTGAGCCAAGTCCATTGATATCATTAACTTCAATCCACCTTGGAGTATTCCCTTGCTACTTGAAATCTGTGCTTCCCAAACATGTAACGGAATATGTTACACTTAGATGCTATATAAATTACAATATTTTGGGGCAGTTATGTTTCAAAAAAGACAAATTAAATATACTCCAAAATATTTTTAAAAAGATATCTTGCAAGGAATCGGGAAAGAAATGGTCACCAAAGCACTGATAAAGCATATCCACTAATGGTGTGGAAGAGATGGTGAAAAAGGAACTGGTGAAGTTTGATGACGAAGCTACTCTCAGGTAAGGTAGTAAGGACAGAGACTGACTGCAAAGAATCGCACAAGAATTTCACAGCACTGAAATACTGGATGATAAACTTCAAAGTAGAGGAGTGTAAAGTACTACACACGAGACAAGATAGGTCAGAGCCAATTGCTATCTATTATTGTTTGGGAACAAGATTTTGGGGTTATACTAGATAATTCTTTAAAAAGCTCCCGAGCAAGACAAGAAGGATAACAAAAGGAACAGCAGAGCTTCCATGTAGGGAACCATGAAGCCTCCTCAACTTGAAAAAAAAAAAAAACCAAAGGGGTACAACAGAAGTCTATAAAGCTGTGTACAATATCATTCGTAAGAATGATTATCTACCATCTTTCCCAATAGAAGGGAAGAAGTGGGTAACAAATTATATTACCACAATCAGAACTAATCAGCAAGAAACAAATTCTTGTACACAAGACCCTGAACCCTAAATCTCAGGAGGCCAGAAGATGTGCTGGGAAAGGGTGGTTACGCGCTGGCTCTGCCCTTGGACACCTTCCTGGACAGGCCCGAGAGCTGCCAGGAGGATACAACTGAACCCAACAGTCCACAGGATCCACACGGACCATCAGCCTCAACAGTTTGTCTCTATTTACATGAAACACACCTGCTGGCACTGAACAACTGTACTTAACCTGTACTAACTTTCCAGCCTTCCAAGTTTTGGTAATAAAATGGTCATTCTTGAACCGCTTGGAACTACTGAATAGTCAGAGTCTAGAAAGTGATTTTTTTTTTTTTTAAATACTTCAGAAAACAGAGGAAAATCTCCCTACAACCAAAAGCATTCAGCTTGCTAAGGCAATCCCACCGACAAGCCCAAAACCCAGGTAAACGTTATGAGCAGCACTCATCCCTTTGGAGGCTCTGGAATGAAACACCACGGAGGGGTAACGCGCACGATGGAATAAACGGGAGCGTTTTCGCATTTATTCGCCTAAAACTTTCTCCGGGAGTGGAAACGGCACCGCCGGGCGCCTCCGAGGGGGCAGACCCGGGGAACCCCGGGACC